CCCGGAGCGGAGCGGGGCTGCGTGAGGAGCCGGCGCCTCAGCCCGCCTCAGGTGAGCCCTGCCCGCCGGCGGGAGCGCGGCCTGTGCGCCGGGCCGCTCGGCCCAGCCCGGGTCTCTGCCGCCGGAGCTGGGTTACCGGGGCCGGGGGAAGAGCCTGCCTGTCGGGATGTCGCCGCCTCGGCGGGCGTGACCGCGCTGGGATCGGCGCGGCGTTCGGAGGAGTCCCGCTTCCTCCCGAGCGGCAGCCGGCTGGGGCTCTCGGGTGACGGGCGTCCGCTTCTGCTGGCTGCGGAGGGCCCCGGGTGGGTTTGGGTTTGTACCGCTTTCCTTCCGTTTGGAAAGGGGGCATAAAAGAGCCTGTTGGCTTTGTGGGTTTGGTTTAAACATCTCCGTTGTTTTGCATTTTAGAATGTTACTTCTGGCCATTCCTGCCAGCTCTGGTGGACGGCAGGGTGCTATGAAGGTAGTTTATTTTGACCTTAAGGTGCCTTATTCTGACCTTAAGCGAAGGGTTAAGGGAGAACGCGGAAAGCTTAACAAAAGCTTATTCAAAATATCGGTTAGCTGAAGGTAAATAGTGCTAAACAAGCAGACTAGGCAGCCTACCACCCTAAAAGCTGTTCTCTTCTTTTCTTACAGGCTTGCACTTCGCAGCCTTGTGTTCTGCGGTTTATCCTGCCTCCTAGCCTTTGCTCCCCCTCCAGTACAAATTTAATGTGGTATTCTCAGAATAATTAGAAGATTAATTTGTAAGGGTAAACTCCTAGTTGCAGACTCTTCTAGCCTAGGGAGAATGCCAGTTTTGAATATAAAAATGGCAGGGTGAAGAAAGAAAAAAAGGAAAACTGAAATCTTTCATAGTCATCTCTACGCTGTAAATAAGTGAAAAGTGTCGTCCTGTGTCTTCTAGAAAGGTAGCTGAGATTGAAAAGCTCTGAGGAACAGATAATTTCAGTAGTAAATGCTATTAAAAAAATTGGTGACCTTAAGGTCAAAACCAGGTCTTAACTTTAAAAAGACTCAGTATCTTGGACAAATAAGATCTATATTTGCATATGTTGACACAAATCAAGTAGTAAATCTCGTGCTTCAGGCTGTGAACTGATTACTCGAGGAAGGAACTTTTCCCTCAGCGTTGCACAACTGGCAGCGTTTTGCTTTCCTCAGGAGAGCTCTGTTATCTGCTGTTGCCTGGTGGGAGGGGAGGGGGAGCAAGTTCTTGTGTTTGACCAACAGACTGCATGGTTCATAGGCTTGTAAGGACCATGGTGCTGGGAAATTGGGTTGCTTTCTCTTCATGCAGCTTCTCGGGGGCGGGGAGACAGCCCCGAGCAGTTTTACTGCTATCTGAAAGGAAGTAGCACCGTGTGATAATGGTGTGGGTGCTGAGTTTTCATTTATTGATGTTGAGAAATGGGCTGGGACTTTAGATGGATGTAGTTTCAAGACTACTTGTGAAGATGCCTCTTCCAAGTTTAGCCTTACCTTTCTACAGCTTCTGCTGTAGGTGGTTTGGTTTTTTTTCCCTTTGCATGAACCCAAGCAGCCTAGAAGTGTGTCCCTATTAGAAGGTGCTGCCAGATCTGGGCAGGCTGTTCTAGCTGGAGGAACGGGAGCGTGGCTCAGCTGCACCTGGGCTGTGTAGATGCAGGACGGTCTCAGATCTTGTATAGACTTGCTGCATTTGTCCTGGATGAGAATGGAGGTGTTCAAGTGTGGTGTAGGATAAACACTACTCCAGTGTCTCAAAGGTGTAATAGCTGGGTCCCTATTACTCAGAGGATCTCCATGCCATTCTCCGTTTTGGAGGTTAGATGTAGCCTTGGTTTCCATGATGATTAATATATCCAGTAGCAGCTGGCATCTGTTTGTCAGTCAGGCATGCATCATCAGAGAGAGAACAGGAAAGGAAGACTTCTTTCAGTGGAAGTTGTCTTGATGAAACCTTTAAAAGTTATTAGAAGGAAGAGTGGAAGCCTCTGTGAAATACAGAGTTTTCAGCAGCAGAAATTTGGATAAGAGGGAGTCTGGGCAATGACTTCTAATTTCTTCAAGTGAGGTTATGAAGCTGAACCTGAGAAGTCTTCTGTCAGATTTACAAATCATTACAAAAAGCACCTGTGGATATGAAAGAACACAAAGGCATTATGCTCTGTCTTATTTCAGCTCTGATTCTTTGGGGGAACAGGGGTGGTGCATTATTTTACCTCTCCTCAGCATTCAGAACGTGTGTGGTGGTTGAATGTTCTGAAAATGCGGTTCCCACCAACTACTTTGTCTAGCTGTCTTAAGCCAGCTAGCATGAACAGAATCAAGTTCTACCTTCAGCAGCAATATCAGTGTACAGCATAATCTTTCTCTGCACTGCTCTCTCTGTTGCATGGACACAAGTGTTTGTGTAGCTGCTTCGTGAGCTGTGGCAGGGAAATCTGGCTGAAAAGATCTCTGCCGAGAAAACAAAACGGAGGCATGGAGAGAGATTCATCACCTTGCTGCCCAGCGGGGTCATTTCCCGGACTCCATTTGCAGAAATGTCCCTTCAGCCACACCAGCACAGCTGAGGGAGTGGAGTAGTGTGGCACGAGCCAGCACTAGAAACTGTGTGTCCGTCGTAACCTTTCCTCAGTACTGATAATATCTGATATCTAGAAGTTTAGGCAGATGTCACCCATGACCTATAGGTAGGGACAGGAAAGTATGGCTTGCCACATGCTGTACTAATGAATTAGTGGCAGATGGAGCTGCAATGAAGGGTTGAGAATGAGTAAGCAGGGAGTCTAGCTGTTGGATTTCAGCACTGTCCTCGCAGTTACTTTCTTTTTTCCAGCTGTGCAAGTCCACTCTTGGGTGTATTCTTTCAACAACATCCTAAAGAGGCAGTTAGATCCAAAACCATTCCCCACCAAGTAACCAAATGCTGCTTTCTTGACTTATTCACTAGTCTATAGCCAACCGGGTAGCAGTGGAAAGTTAGTTTATTTATGACCACTCTGTAGTGCACCATATATGTAAAAGGTGCAGAATGGTCTTTAAGGTGGGAACACTGGAAGTTGGTGGATCCTGGGGGAACTCCTTTGGCGATGGGCACTGAAGAGGCACCTGCTAGAAGGGGATGAAAAAGAAGTGGGTTGGAGGATAGCCGTGGGCTTCGTGGATTAATGGGAGTAAAAAGACGTTTCTGGGCATAGAAGGTGTCAAGGAATGTACAGGTGATGAGATGAGCAGCGATGTGAAACAAATTGGGAAGGAATGGCATAGGGTAGTTCCTGCTGAATTCCAGCTGTTTGAGGAACACAACTGTATTTTATACATGTGTTTTAATTCAAGTATGTTTTCTTTTTTTTCTCCCTTTCCACTCTCTTCTGTTTAAGTGAGAAGAAAAATGACCTAAGCACCGTCCAGCCTTTGTGGCCAAGGGCAGGAGCAGGGGTAGGGCTGCCAGGAGGATGGCTTTGCCTGGAAGCTTACGGAGGCAGCCTGCAAGCAGAGGCCTTGTGTCCCATTGCACCCACCATCATATTGTTGTGTTCCTGCTGACCTTCTTCAGGTAGGTCGAGTGTATCTCTGTATAGAGAAGGGTTCATCTCGCTGAATGTGGGGAGGTGAGGGCATGTCCAAAGAAGGAGAATGAAGGCAGGAAAATTGTCTAAACCTTTGGCTGTGAGCCTTGAAAACAAACTTAAATGCTAGTAGTACCAACCGGTCTGGGAGTCATGCAGTAGTGGAGCTAAGTGTGCTATGCCCCTGGGGAATCCAGCCACAAACAGGGTTTGCACCAAAGGTGAGGCAGACTGTGCCAAGCCAGCAGCAGTCTGTTGCAGAAGGGTGAATGTGGGTGGGTGTGGGGAGGAACTAGCTGAAATGAGGAAGGAAGCAAATCCTGATGCTCAGAACTCTAATGCCTGTTCTGCCTGATGGAACATGCTGTCGTTGCTTCCGGGGTCCTCTTCTCTCCTGAATGTGCTGTTTGCAGAGGGTGGACAGGCCTCTAGAACAGAGAGGTCACTGCTTCAGATCTGAAGGTCTACTAGATTGGTTTGTTGAAAACTTGTCTGTTACACCAGCTGACAACAGCTGGAATACCACACTGCCTCTCCTTACAAACTTTGCCTCACTGATATCCTTTGATCTTCACAGCAATACTGCCACTGATACCTAATCTGTCTCTGGAAGAACACTTGTAATGGTGGTTAGCCAGATGAGTGTGTCTTCTCTTTTCTCTTCATTGTTTTTTTCTTTTCTGAGGTACCTAATTGTTGTTGCACAGTCACCTCCTCCTTTGAAAATAAAAGAGGAGGTCCTTTATAGTCAAG